TAAGCGACATGTTTGTATTTAATATTTCAAAGAACATTCTACCTCGATACGTAAACTTCCCAGTCTGAGGTTTCTCACATCCGTCGTCCACCGATTAAAAATGTTATTTCTAAATTCGTCTTCATGTGCCCACTTGTATCACGCGTCACACACTGCCCAGCAGCGTCAGTCTATCAGAGCGCTCCCAGTGAGGAGATCTGAAACCAGTTCTCTACAGAATTTTGCTCCTGTTTACTTCATTTTGCAGCAGACTCATTGGCCATGTCTGCAAACTCCAACGACAAACTAAGGAGCAAGCGTAGTCCCAAGTTTAGAAATGAAATTGAAAATTATTGCTGATTTCGGAGCTCGCAGACGATCAGTCCAGTCTTACCATAGCACAGGATGTTAGTCACCGACTTCCCACTGCGGCTGCCCGGGTTCTACTCAGGTCAAGACATGTGGGATTTGTGGTAGACAGATTAGAACTGGAGAAGATGTTCTCCGAGTACATCCGTTTCTCTTGCCAATTCTCATTTCATCGAATTCTCCGTACTCATCTATCATCCGGGACTGGTACAATAGGTCGATTAGTGGCCGACGTACCAAGTGGACTCAGTCTCACGCCATGAAAATAAAGTCATCAGCCGACAGCGGTTATGAACTTTGAATACCTTCTACAACCGTAAGAACGATCGCGCTTAGCAAAATTACATGTTTGAGAACCTGAGCCATGTTTACGTTCGGATGTCTCAGGAGTTGCCCGTTTCGGTGCGGTAGCCTCCCCTCCTCCATGCCTCCCCCCCAAGATATCCGTGTCCTAACCCCATAACTCCACGTACCACGTGATTTCCCTTCATCCTTTTTTCAGAAAGGGAAACCTCCGTCGGTGTGGGGTGGTTTCAGAAAGCAGTCTTCGCTTTCCAGCGGCTGAGAGAAGTAGGGTCACTAAATTAGGTTTCGGCCTGCATTTCCAAATTGTGTTTGGACTCGTCACTCAGGCCGTTAGGTGCAAGGGGCCTCCTCGTTGCAACAGTATGTATTTTTTTTTTCATTTGGAGATGTTGTAACTAGTTTTGTTTGGTATTATTTGCGACCAGGGTTCGATCCCGGGTCGGGTCAAGCGGGATTTGTGGTGGACAAAGTGGCGTTGGGGTGGGTTTTTCTCCGAGTACTTCTGTTTCCCCTGCCAATCTTCATTCCACAAAATTAACCATCATCCTAATCACCCGCGGCAGGTACAATAGGCCAATCAGTGGGCGCCGTGCCGAATGGACCCAGTTGGACTCCACCCCCCACTAAGCGAGCGAATTGATATTATTTTATTATTTGTTTTGGCTTGCTGTTGCCTCATTTAGTGTTACGGCCCGGCTAGATAATGGAGTAACCCCGAAATTTCGTTTGCTTCGCAATGTTATGTTAATCTGGTCCTTTCCCAGGTCTAGGGCAAATAGACAGCTCCGTATGGCCGCCTTATGTATGTTTCTGTTTGATTGGTTTTCAGTTTGGACGACCAAGGTGGTCGAGGGCATAGATTCATATAGATTCATAGATCCGGAAGACTTCCAATCTCTAACGACGTACTATAACTAAACAGATGAGACATTCCCTTTGTAAATAATGTAACGTAATGTTGCGTGTTTCCTAAGCAACGCGACAAGAAATTGCGTGGTCTCTGATTTGAATGAATACTGATTGGACGATCCCTCTTTACACTCACAAGTACAATTATCCACACTTATAACGCGTTCGGACTTTCCTCTTTAGTGTTATACACTCTCGCAATGCTAATCTCGGTGAAGTATCTTCTGCTCTGCTCGGAGCTCAACTGTCCTTAGCTCTCGTCAGATACGAACTGACTGGTCTCTTGTCGGATACAAACTGACAGGCCTCCTGTCGGATACGAACTGACTGGTCTCCTGTCGGTTATGAACCGACTGGTCTCTAGTCGGATACGAACTAACTGGCCTCCTGTCGGATACGAACTGACTGGTCTCCTGTCGGATATGAACTGACTGGTCTCCTGTCGGATACGAACTAACTTGTCTCCTGTCGGATACGAACTAACTGGCCTCCTGTCGGATACGAACTAACTGGTCTCCTGTCGGATACGAACTAGCTGGTCTCATGTCGGATACGAACTAGCTGGTCTCCTGTCGGATACGAACTAACTGGCCTCCTGTCGGATACGAACTAAATGGTCTCCTGTCGGATACGAACTGACTGGTCTCCTGTCGGATACGAACTAACTGGTCTCCTGTCGGATACGAACTAGCTGGTCTCCTGTCGGATATGAACTGACTGGTCTCTTGCCGAAATTGGACTGATATCCTGCACTGGGGCAGGGAACACTTGTCGAGGGGTTTAGTTTCGGCTGCTGCTATGCAAACCTCTTGTTGCCGCAGGAATACATTTTTAGTGCCTCAAACAATTCGTTACAAATAACGGTGGAAACCCCACTGTTAGAATTTCATCTTCGGGGCAACTATTTTCTAGGCATTGCTGCCTAGGAATTGTTAGCCGTTGACCATTGATGGACGTCTCATCATCCTGCCTTCCTGGCGGCACGTCACAGTACCTTGGTGCAACTTTGGAAGAGAGGATGTCATGGAAACACCATATCGAAAGGACTACAGCCAAGGCTTTGCGCATGCACTTCACGATCTATTCCTGTGGGTGTTTAAGTACAAATATTGAACTTATGGCTTAGAAAGCTCTGATTAGGTCAGTTATGATTTCAGTAGTCCAACCTGGGAGCATGCGACGGATGCTGACCCCTTGAAATTGCGGCGCCTGCAGAGCAGAGTACTTTGCGCTACTGGAAACTTTGACAGGTGCACACTAGTGCGTGAATTGCACGAGGCTTCCAAAATTCCGTACGCTTATGACTGTACAAATTAAATTATGCAGCATACAGGTAGAAGTAGTCCTAAACCATGTGACTCCGTATGTACATGTATTGGAAAGGAATAAGCCAGGCATAGGATCTGGCCTACGACCGTTCAGTTGACTAACTGCAGTTTCTGAGAAGTTAGGTAAATTAAGGTATAACCTGCTGTAAACATCTTCATTGACAGAAAACGTCTGTATATCTCGTGTAAATGTTACTTAGTGCAGTGCAGTGACAAAGGGTGCACAGAGTCCATAGTGACCTGGACGCCGTGACAGCGCGGATATAATCGTGCTGAAACTACGGTGCAACAGACGTAGCGCCAACATAGAAAGATCGACCCCTCCCTCGTTGAAGAGGTGGCCCCATTTCGAAATACGTACATGTCTAAGAGAATAAAAATCTTGGTCACTGATCTCGAGGAGACTGAAGCCAGGAATGTCTGTGTTGGCGAAGGCCAGCAGCAATTTAACCGACCGACCGATCTGTTGCAGTTATTATTTATTTTTATTATTATTGGAGGGGGTGGGTTTCCCCATGCACCGCGACTAATAGTCTATTGTACGTCCCCCTTTGATATTCTACTAGTCGTCATACCCTACCGGTACTGGTGGGTGCTATCAGCCCTGTTCAGCCAACGAGGTCGGCCCTAGGTACCCGATGCTTCCCCCATCTACCAGAGGCATTGGAAACTACTTGGGAGGGAAACTTGCCTATCTGTTGCAGTTAGTCAGTGAGAGTTAGATAAATGCCGACGTTCAGTTGTGTGTTGCTTCTGTGAGAAACTGGTAGCTGAGACCGGTGACAGTTCGGGAACCCAGAGGAAGGGGAATGTCCGCCGTTGGAAGCCGATACCTAGCAACGGCTATGAAGACTGTAACAGACCGAGAAGACCTAGTGTGTCCTACAATGACTTGTGAAGTATGTAGAAGAGTGATAGCATACGTGTAATCCTTACTTCAAGTTACGAGTTCTAAGGATTCAAGAAATCCGATTACCAACCCAAATCGTGACAATATCCTTTGAGAGAAATATTAAAATACTGTCTACAGAATCTAATTCGCATATTACGATCAAAAGCGAATGGAGGGTAAACAGATCAGTTGAACGATACCGTTTTCAATAAGATCAATAAAAAATCAACAAAATTTGTAAAAGCAAGATCAAGAAAATTAATGACAGAATGACTCGTATCCAGATTGAGCTTAATACAGTACTGGGTGTTACGCAATGTCGAGCCCTAATTCCAATGAAGGCCGGGGATAACAGGTCTTCCCAAGCAAATAACACCGTACTTTTGTCATCTAATAAATTTTCTACAAAGATAAAGCATTTCTCAATAATAATAATTCAATTCTTTATTATTTAAATGCCGAGTCAACAGCTTCAAGGCCAATTACAGACAAAGCACAGTGTAGATAAAAAGTAGTTACATATGGACAAACACAACATAAATTCAAAGACTAGTTAAATGTAAGCACTGGAGGAAAAACACATTAATCCAGAGAAGGAAACAAACAAACAAATTAGTAGTAATAATGATAATAATCTAACACAAATCTAAGTTGCTATTGACAATTAAGAAATGTAAAGAATACATATTTAGAAATAATAATAATAATAATAAGTCAATTTATTTTTAGTTTAATTTCGTGCAAATAATTTATAGCCTATTACAAAAAACAATTCAGGAGAACGTCCCTGGCTCCGAATACGTCAACGTCCCTGCAAACAACATTAGCAGCTGCTGCACATCCAGCAGAGGGACAGTTTTTATATAAGGAGCAAACACTGAACAACGCAGAGTCTGATAACCGAGCAAGAGACCTACAATTTCCAGAATGGAAGGGCAGAATTTCGAACCAAAGCTAACTTGAGTAAGCAATAGAGCATCGAGACGATGCATCCCAATACGCAGTCCGCCATCTTAACTCCTCCAGAGCAAGAGAATGACTGTAATGAACAGAGGGCCGCAAACCTCTGCTGGATGCGTTCCAGCTGTTGGCATCAGCTGACGTAATCGAATTCCAGACTACGGACGCATATTCAAGCTTAGATCTAACTAATGCAGTGTACAATCTGAGCATACATAATAATAATAATAATAATAATAATAATTAAATTTGTTGATATGTAAGTTATTTAAAGACACGCATTAATTACATAATTTGGGGTCGAAAGATGATATATTTAGAAACAAAAATAAATATAGAAAAAATGTGGTCGTGGCCTGTTAGGATAAACTGCGTCACCATCAGGCAACTGCACGGTACAAACCTGTCGCGCTGATGTTCGTATTGACCTGCTGAAGAAGTTGAAGGCTTTCGGACTGTTATGCAATTCTCAAGGACGTCTAACTACTGGAGGAAGCACATCAGCTCTGGCTTGTCAGAACACTTTAATGATCTTCGTGCACAGACCAGACGCTTTGACCCGTGATACGAGCCATGTGCTCCTGCAACTGACGCACCATGTTACTGCGCCCAGGACACTGAAAATGTGCAACGTTGCATAAGCGAATTCCACTTCAGTTAATATCATAGACGTACAAGCATCATCAAACACAGAACTTACATCATAATATTATGCGAAGAGACGTACTGACTTCATACGAAAAGCGACAAAGTTCCAAACAACGAATTTTGTCCCTGCCACAGACTTTTGTGACGAACATAAAACAAAAAGAGGGGGCAATTCTCTGAATACAGCATGCAACACATGACGCAATAGTAAGATGGTGACTGGCTGCATGAATAGTGGGAAGAACGCAAGGCAGAGGTCATCTGAAATATTTCAAGGAACTTGTTTCCTTTTTAGAGAGAATTCAATGCGTTTGCGAAAAAAGAAGAAATATTAATAAACTTAAAACTACATTTTTCGGTATAGCGACTGGGTACGGGCTGGACGACCGAGGGGATGGAGTTCGAGTCCCGGTATGGTCAAGAATTTTCTCTTCTCAACGTCGTCCAGACCGGCTCTGGTGTCCACGCAACCTCCTATCCAATGGGTACCGAGGGATCTTACCCCGGGCGTGAAGCTGATCACTCCCAGCTAGTGCCAAGGTCAAGTAAATATGGATCTATACCCACTCCCCTATAGCGTAGTGCTCAGTTAGTTAAGCACAAGGGACAACGTTATCGTTATCTTAGCAGGAAAGCTTGTTGCCATTCGAAGAGTTCTGTCGTCTGGGATACAAAGCAGTGTAAGCCGTTGATAGTCAACAGACGTCTCGGAGGAACACGTCGCACCCATCTTCCAGATCGAAGAATAGGCCAAGCAATAAACAATTCCTTTAGGCTTGATTCTTGCCTGGCTTATTCTCAACTTTGAAGATGGAGACACATTCCTCCGAAACGTCGGCACACTACATGGCGTTATAGCTCGGAAGACAGAACTCTTCATAACCAACGGGGTGAAAACCTCAAATCCTACACTGCTAACGTTCACAGATTGAGTCACTGTTGGCTCTCAATACGTGCAAAAGTTGCGTTCCTGAAAATCGCCGCCGCGTCTGTCGAGAACGCATAAAACGTCGAGTGCACTGAACGAACAGTGAGCAAAGAGGAATAGACAATAACATGGCGGTTGATGTGAGACATGAGAACTGCGCGCTCAGTTCACTGGGCAAGACCGGCACTTTTACCGTGGCACAGGGCAGGGCATTGATAGGAGGATGGTTTATTTTACTTTAATTCTTCGTATCAACTGTCGACGACAAGATACTAGGGCATACTCAAGGCGACATGCCCCCCTCGGAATTTTCAAAATGTCTACATTTATTTTTCTTAATGAAAACCATTAACTTATAGAATTTCGGCGCGAAAATCGCGTTCTCTCGCGTTAAGAGCCAATTTGTGGAGTCACAATTTAGCTAGGATCTAGGATGCTGATTTAGAATCCCGCTCGGCTCATGAATGATTGCTGTTTTAGAGCATTACGTAAAGAAAAGGGACTTATGATAGACCCGTCGCCCATCTTGTCTGTCTAAAGAGCATTCTGGAAACATCTAAGATTGAAAAAGTCAAGGATCCAATCGAGTCATAGCAGGAATAAGGTTTTGTATACCTGCAGCTGGGACCGCCTCTGTGGTCTAGTGGTCAGAGTTCTTAGCTACAGATCCAGAGGTCCCGGGTTCTGAGAAGTAGTGTTTCTGGAACGGGGTCCACTCAGCTTCGTGAGGATAACTGAGGAACCATTTTAATGAAATAGTGGCTCCGGTTTAGAAAACCGAGATAAACGTCCATGGGGATCCGCTGCGCTGACCACGCGACACCCTCTATCCTCAAAAAAGTTGGCACTAACTTCGCCGACAATCGGCGGTCGCTCGGTCAGTATAGTTCGCTTGCGGACTAAAGCCACGGCGTTTTGTTGTTGTTTATACCTGCAGCTGGACGATGCGTCGTTCACAGCGGCCGCGCGGTCTACGCCCGCCCGAACACTGGGACTGTAGGCTTGAATACCACTCGAGGAATGGATTTATGTGTGGATTCATTCTGTGTTTGTCTGTTATGCCTTGCGACGGGCTGATCCCCCGTCCAAGGAGTACTGCAGACTGTGTATATGATTAAGAAACTGAAAAGACAGCGAAGGCCCAAAGGGCTCCAGAACAATAGATAGAGAGGAAGAGAGAGAGAGAGAGAGCTGAGAGTGCCGACAGAGTTAACGCTTCTGACTTTATTGGAGAAGACCCTTCTTCAATTATCGGCCCGGAGTCCGGTTTTACATACTTTGAATTTTCGTGGGGGTTCGCAGTCCCCCATGGTGTGTGTCAGGATAGAACTTCAAATTAGGACATGATCACTTGTTGTACGCCCTTTTCAATTCATTATGCCCTATTTACTATCACACAAATCGACGCTAAACAGTCTGAGCTATTGAGAGCGTCATGAAATGATATAAATAAGAACATACCTGTATTTAAGTGATACAGAATGGAGTAGGTACATGTCGGTTCACCTTGACTAAGAGGGCGGGTCTACTATACATATATCAAGCAAGTTTTCCTCCATAAACCCCGAGTAAGTGAATAACAATAAATCTGCTCAGATCACGTTCACAACTAGATACACTGAATGTCCATCAGTCATACTAAATAATGAATCCATCCCAATGAAAAATGAAGTCAAGTACTTGGGTCTTCACCTTGATCGAAGGGTAACTTGGAAAGATCATATTAAGGCAAAGAAACAGCAGCTCAACATTAAAACTAAGCTAATTAATTGGCTTATTGGCAGAAAATCTCAATTGTCTCTTGAAAACAAACTAATAATCTATAAAGTCATACTAAAACCCATATGGACGTGTGGGATCGAATTGTGGGGATGTGCTAAACCATCTAACACTAAAATACTACAGACACACCAATCAAAAACTTTAAGAATGGTGACAAATGCTCCATGGTATGTTTCTAATCAAACCTTACATGAGGACCTAAAAATACCATTTATCAGGGATGCAATAAATTACCAGGCCAACATATACGGAAACAGGAATATGAATCATACAAATGAACTGATTGCTGCTCTCACCAGTTAACCAACCGTTGCAAGAAGGCTCAAAAGACAATGGCCCGAAGACTTACATATGTAACCTAAGGCGAACCGGCATTGGCCGGCAGCACCTACATTGACTGCATCGACTACTAAATTTACTTAATACTCGTATTTTATAGAGTAGATTGTAAATAAACAGACAAAAAAAAAAGCCGAGTCGCCTGTGAATGTGATAGGATTGTAGTAAACGATCAAATTAGCCCTGTAACAGGCCGTGGAGGCCCATAGAGTTGTGAGACGTCGAGGGTTCCACATTTTCTCCAGACAATCGGCTCACAGATGGCGGTAAGGTAGTCAGCCTTAAGCGCCGGCCGCCCTTTACCCCCCCCCAGGAAGATTCCTTGTACTCATTTCTGTTAGAGGCTGAGTCGACCCAAGGGCCACAGTGGGGCTGGAATGATTGGGAAAATTGAAAAACTTCACTTCATCGGGAGTCAAACCCGCGACCTTCCGGCTTGTAGCATAGTGTCCCCATCGGATTGTAGTAATGAGAAAAGAACGAGCACAACGAGGTACAGAGGTTTCAGTAGCCGATAAGAATACCTACAAAATAGAGGAAGTGATGAATCAAGTTTCCCCTACGTCTACAAAGACACGCAGATCACATAGATGTATAGAGACGGTGAAAGGAGTTTCCCCGTTCGGAATGACAATAAAGTGTATGGAACTGAAAACGTTGGCGATTGCAAACAGATTCAAAATGCTCGTGTATAGAGAATTGTTTGAATCTGAATGCATCCGTTAAGTAAAAAACTTATATCATGCCAGTAAAGAAAAAGCAGAAGGAGAGACAAAAGCTGATCCAAATGACCGCTGGGCCAGAAATGGGCGCGGGTTTGGGCTTCTCGAAAGCTGTAATAGCATATGAGAATGTGGTTTATCGCGGGACTTGCGTTCCCGATCCCTGCTGAGGCCAATGAAAGATAAAAATTGTCAATACTGAATCGGCTGACAATAGAGGATAGAATCAGTGAAAGTGAAACAAGTAAAACATTCTGAAAAACGAGGTATGCATAACTGCCTTTGCAACAAACAAACGCTCTTCTAAATGCAAATTTCCGCCGAAATTTACGCGCTCACGTCCTCTCTTCAATTTCCCGCACAGAACTGCCTAACAACTGACTTTGTCCATTGTTTGTAACATATCGTCAAGGACCACGCAGGAACAGCCCGTTTCCATTTTTGTAGTCCAACTGTCGCATTATTAAGAATCTGCTGTGTAGCAACGGGAATGTGTTTACTGAACCGTTGCCCAGAAACGGTCGCTATTTACATAACCACTTTTTAGCAATGGATTTATATGGCACGATACTAGGATGTCCCTAAAAGAAATAATTTGTGACATGGGGGCGAATGGAAGTGGGTCAGGATCAGATAAGTGGCAAATGTTATATTTTAGCGTCCTGTTACACTGAGTCATGTCCATGGTTTATGCTAACCGTCTTACAGTGCATACAATTTCACCTTTCTCTTCACTTCCACACTACATGTTTCAGCACTAATGTGCCATCCTCAGGTGTCTTTATGCACGTTAAACTATTGTACTGCATGCCATGATGTCTTCATTCTAAAATGACTAAAATCTGTATTCGTCATATATATATATCGATGAATTCTAAATAATAAAACTTTTCAGGATTCACCCTACGTCGCACTCAAACACTCGAATTACGCCAATCCTCTTTTATGTGAGCATTCTTCCTACATACATTTGTGTATCGTGTTCTGTGTTGTGTTTTGCTCCTGTTACTGCATGCGTTGTACTGCTGGATATGTGTGTGTGTGTGTGTGTGTGTGTGCTGTCTTCATGGCATGCAGTACAATAGTTTAACGTCCATAAAGACACCTGAGGATGGCACGTTAGTGCTGAAACATGTAGTGTGGAAGTGAAGAATAAGGTGGAAAAGTGTATACACTGTAAGACGGTTAGCATAAACCA